GAGGATGTGGCTGTGGACTTCACCTGGGAGGAGTGGCAGGACCTGAATGATGCTCAGAGGAGTTTGTATAGGGATGTGATGCTGGAGACGTACAGCAACCTGGTGTCACTGAGTGAGTAAAACTCCTGAGTAACTTTCAGAAGAAATGGTTTCTTTTTTGTTCATAAATATAGAAACCATTTATAGGGTTTCATGCTATTTTGGTGAGATTATGTTTCTTGAAAATGTGCTCTCTCGTTCTCATGAGGTTCAAATTGGCTTCTTTATTGCACATCTGAAGCTGAGCTCTTGACATTCTTCCAGGAATCAGACTTAGCAGTTTTACAGAGTCCTACATTATTTCCCATTAACAGAACACTGCATTAACAAAGCTGAGGTGATTCTCAAGTTAGAAGAAGGAGCAGAGCCAACACTAGAATGCCTAAACGAGATCCTGCAAGATTTGTCAGCACATACAGTGCAGAAGCCAAGAAAAGTAAAGCCCATTAGGTGTCGGAAGTGTTCAGCTGTTTCTGGCAATTTTTCCCCTAAGTCCCAGACTTGAGGATGGCTTATCTGCAATCATGTATTACATAATCTCCAAGGTGGGGTGTCCCATGTACATCCCAATACTTTATTTTGCTGAATCTGTTTTATATGTACCCAATATCTAATTCCTACATTTCTTTTCTTTGGCATTTATTTTTCCTATTTGCTTTCTTAACATTTTTAGTTGTGTGGGTGTCTTCAATTCTCATGTACATTTTTTTCATACCATATCTGTTCATTTTATGTTGTTTCTGACAGAATGCCTGCAGCTGGGTAATTTATAAAGAAAATAATCTTTTTCTTACAAGTCTCTTCTGGAGACTCAGCATTCCAAGTTCAAGGGGTTATATCAGGTGAGGGCCTTTGTTCAGGTGGGGACTCTTCACAGAGTCCCAAAGTAGTCCAGGGTATAACATAGCAATTCACTAAGAAAATAGGAAAAGAGGTACAGCAGTGAGCCTTGTACCACCACATCAAAAATCATGAAGTTGAGGAGAACTCTGCATGGGAGAATGGAAAGCAGTGGTCCTTGGCTTTGAAGGAAAACCAGGAGATTCTGGGTGCCAAGACCATGTGAACTAAGGGTTCCATGTTGAGGGGATAAGATTGTTGATTGGGAGTGGAGTTCAAAG